AGAAATAGAGATGATTTTGATTGGTTTTAGCACTGGAAATGGCTTGAAACTGAGCTCAAAGTAGCGGAAATGTTAAATTTTTGCCGATATTCAAGAGTAAACAAACGACCTCACACGTCTAATACACGTCAGCTGGTGGGTCTAATATACATTCACAAATATGGTGATGATATTTATACAATTATTACAGTATTGCATAACAGTAAATCTTCTATTTTTTGGTGTGAATAAAAATTCATTATGTGAATAAAAAATCAAAATGGAATTTATTTGTAAAGCCTCAAAACATAACTAATGAACAGAGGAAATGTTAGTTTAGTGCCAGGAATACCTACATTGTTTATTCTGGACCCTATTTTGAAATTGGAATATTTTGAACTTTGTGTTAAATTGGCCAAATTAACAATTTCCGATCACTTTATTTTGTAGTTGAAACAGTTGACTTGGCGATTTCTTGTGCTCAATCGATAGAATAGAAGTAATACTAGTGAAATAGCTAAGAATTTGGTTGATTGGAATAATGTAATTGGCCTAAAATGGGAGTCAAAGTCGGCAAAATCGCCGATTCGTAAATATCGCTGACACATCAAAATTCGCGAGAGCATAATTTCGTCAATTTTCCACCAAATTTCGTACTTTTTGTTTTATTACCTTCACAAAAAGATTCTCTACGATTTCATAAGAAAAAATAACAATTTTTTTTTTTTAAATTCTTGGACACTGGTGCGTGACTCCAGATTTGGGCCTTGGACCCTGAAAGGGTTAAAAAAACTGGCATTCGCCTGATTTGTTTACGTAACTCTGCAAGTGTCCTCTCTCATGTACTCATTTTCTCTCTCTCTCTCTCTATCTATCTATCTATTATCTATCTATTATCTATCTATCTATCTATTATCTATCTATTATCTCTCTCTCTCTCTCTCATTTATTCATTTTATCTCATTTACTCACCTCTGACCCTACATTAAGACTACAAATTTGTTAAGTAATGAGTGAACTGTATATGAATTTTATAGCTCTTTGATGCTTAAATGTCATAGAATATTGTGTGTGGGTGGGTTGGCCTGGTATGGTAGCTTGGCTGGCTACCATACATACCACACTTGATTTCTTACAATAAATACTACTCATCTCACCCTAGATTAAGACTACAAATATTTTAAGGTAAGTAATGAGTGTGCTATACAGTGGACCCCCGGTTCGCGATATTAATCCGTTCGTGAGAGCTCATCGTAAACCAAAATTATTGGAAAGCGAATCAGTTTTCCCCATAAGAAATAATAGAAATCAAATTAATCCATGCAAGACACCCAAAAGTATGAAAAAAAAAAACTTTTACCACATGAAATATTAAGTTTAATGCAATAGAATAATTACAATAACAACAATAACAATAGAATAATTGACACTTACCTTTAATGAAGATCTGGTGATGATTGATGGGGGGGGGGAGGGGAGAGTGTTGAACCTATTGTTTAGAAGGGGAATCACCCTCCATTAGGACTTGAGGTAGCAAGTCCTCTTCCGGGGTTACTTCCCTTCTTCTTTTAATGCCACTGGACTTCTGCCGCACAGCATATCTGTCCATAGAGGCCTGTACCTCTCGTTCCTTTATGACTTTCCTAAAGTGGTTCACAACAGTGTCATTGTACTGGTTGCCAACACGGCTTGCAGTAGCTGTCTGAGGGTGATTTTCATCAAAAAAGCTTTGCACTTCAAGCCACTTTGCACACATTTCCCTACTCCTTGAAGTAGGCAACTTCTTCACTTTACCCATCCCCCCCTCCGAAGCAGTTTCCTCAGGTCTGGCCTCTTGCTGTTGAAGATGATCTAGCAGCTCATCAGTGGTTAGTTCTTCATTGTCCTCCTCCATCAACTCTTCCACATCCTCCCCACTAACCTCCAACCCCAAGGACTTCCCCAATGCCACAATGGATTCCTCAACTGGCATAGGCTTCTCAGGGTTAGCCTCAAACCCTTCAAAATCCCTTTTGTCTACACATTCTGGCCAGTTTTTTCCAGGCAGAGTTCAAGGTCCTCTTAGTCACTCCCTCCCAAGCCTTACCTATAAGGTTTACACAGTTGAGGATATTAAAGTGATCCTTCCAAAACTTCTTTAGAGTCAATAGAGTATCTGTGGTCACTTCAAAGCACCTTTCAAACACAGCTTTTGTGTACAGTTTCTTGAAGTTGGAAATGACCTGCTGGTCCATGGGCTGCAGGAGAGGAGTGGTATTAGGAGGCAAAAACTTGACCTTAATGAAGCTCATGTCCCCAGAAAGTCGCTCTGCCAAGTCTGTAGGATGACCAGGGGCATTGTCTAATACCAGGAGGCACTTAAGGTCTAATTTCTTTTAATTAGGTAATTTTTCACATTGGGGGCAAATGCATGGTGTAACCAGTCATAGAAAAAGTCCCTAGTGACCCATGCCTTACTGTTTGCCCTCCACAGCACACAAATTAGCCTTGAGGATATTCTTTTGCCTGAACACACTGGGAGTTTCTGAGTGATACACCAATAAAGGCTTCACTTTGCAATCACCACTAGCATTGGCACACTTCAGAAGAGTAAGCCTGTCTTTCATAGGCTTATGTCCTGGGAGTGCCTTTTCCTCCTGAGTAATGTAGGTCCTGCTTGGCAATTTCTTCCAAAACAGGCATGTTTCGTCGCAATTAAACGCTTGTTCAGGTTTCAAGTCTTCAGTGTCTATGTAATCCTTGAATTCTTTCACATATTTTTCAGCTGCTTTTTGGTCTGAACTGGCAGCCTCACCATGCCTAATCATACTATGTATGCCACTACGATTCTTAAATCTTTCAAACCAACCTTTGCTGGCCTTAAATTCACTCACATCACCACTAGTTGCAGGCAATTTCTTTACCAAATCGTCATGCAACTGCCTAGCCTTTTCACAAATGATTGCTTGAGATATGCTATCTCCTGCTATCTGTTTTTCATTTATTCACATCAATAACAGTCTCTCAACATTTCCTAACACTTGCAGTCACTGTTTCATAATCACAGTTGCATTTTTTGCAAGAACAGCTTCCTTGATTGCCGTTTTCCTGCTCACTATAGTAAAGATGGTTGATTGGGGTTTACTATACAACCTGACCAGCTCCGACACACGCACTCCACTTTTATACCTTGCAATTATCTCTTTCTTCATTTCAATAGTCATTAGCACCCTTGGTCTCAAAGGGTTGGCACTAGAAGCTTTCTTGGGGCCCATGGTGACTTATTTTGCAGAAACAAGCACCAAAAACAGTGATAATATAGATAATATGGAATGTACCAAATGTATCCTTAGATGCGCACACACTGGCTGGCTTGTAAACACTGACACACACGGCGCAGTTCAGGCCACACGTGGACACGTCTCGTACGAATCGCATCGCATACCGGGTTTTGTAACTGGAACCGAGGCAAATTTTTGGCGATATAATGCATCGGCTACCAGATTTATTAGATACCGATAGCATCGCGAACTGGGGGTACACTGTACAGTAGTCCCTCGCTTTTCGTAGTTCTCGGCAATCGTAAATTTCGCCAATCATAGGGGTATTTTCGTATAAACATGGACTCACTTTTCATAGGTTGACTCGCGAATAGTAGTTCGTCCGGGACGCGTACGCACGGTGAGAGCCGGGGCGGCCTCCCTACCCAGCCAGTCTGGCATTGTTTACCAGTGAGTGAAGGTCCACTCAAGTGCTCCTACGAAATATTTCATAATATTCCACTCATTTTAGTGCTTGCAAGTACTAAATAAGCTACCATGGCTCCAAAGAAAGCTCCTGTAGTAAAGAAGGTGAGAAGTATGTACAGTGACAAAGTCTTGGGCCATTTTAGGGAAGTGTTAAAGAGACGCCAGAAACAGAGCGCTCTCCACAGTTACTTTGCGAGACAGGACTAGAGTGACTCTCAAGGTGGTCCTAGTGGCATTAAGAAACAGAGAAGAGAAGCAACCCCAGAGATAGAAGCAATTGGTACCTGAGGTGTTGCTGGAAGGGGATTCCCCTTCCAAACTGTAAATAATCCAATCTCTCTCCTCCTCCAGTCTCCCATACACTAAGAAGAATCTCCAATAAAGGTAAGTGTTATGCTGTTAATGTTTCATTCATCATTTCCCATTGTATTGTTTATGTACTACATGTATATTTCATGTAAAATTTTTTTTTGTTTTAATACTTCTGGGTGTCAGGAACGGATTAATTGTATTTACATTATTTCTTATGGGGAAAATTGATTCGCAAATCGTAAATTTCGTTTATAGTAGCTCCTCCAGGAACGGATTAATTACGAAAAACGAGTGACCACTGCATATGTATTTTACTTTTTTATTGTTTTTTAATGCCTAGTTCTATTGCTAACTTAATATATGTTAGTGTAAACTTTACGGAGATTTCCACTTTACGGCGTTAGCCTGGAACCTAACCTGTCATATAAGTGGGGCCCTACTGTATTTCTATCTGACATGGCAGTTCACAACTCTGGAAGTTTTAGTATGTTAGGTGCTCATGCTAAACATTCTGCCCTACCACATGTTACGTGAACAGGTGACTTGTGCACAGACACTTGGCTCCACCTAATTCACCTTACCTGTATGCTATAAATATTCTGTTTTTTTTCCATGCTCTGTATTGGATTGATAATACCCCCAGTGGGCAAAACTTCTCTTAATGTATAAAATGTTTCAGGTGTTTCATTCTTTTTTTCCACAGGTATTAAACACCAGGGTGATTAATAGTGCTGAAGGATTACCTTAATGTTAACCAAACTGCAAGTGCTGCTAGAGTTTAATATTTTATTCATTATGGCCAGTTTTTGTCCAAGTTCCTTAAAATTTGAATATTAGGAATTAAAAAATAAAATCTTGTTGCACTACTGTACTTATGCTGTTGTGAAGTATAAAATAATATTTTTCTTACATTAGCTTCAGATTTTTATGCATTTAAATAAAATTAAATGTTTTCTAAGTCTTAATTTCCCTTTATTTCAGGAGGCAATAATGAGTGAAATGAAAGCTCGTGGTGTGGTTGCAGACAAGCGTCTTCTTTCTCAAGAGGATGTTTATCATGGAGCATTAGAGGATATCCTAATTGGGCTGAAAAATGAGCCCTACAGACGTGCTGATGCTGTTCGCAGAAGTCAGCGCAAAAGGAATGAAAATGTTAGGCTGTCTCGCACCCTTGACGAAATGGAGTTTTAAATGATATACAGAACTGTTTTGTGATTACACTGCACAAACTTTTCCATTAATAAATTTGACTTTCTCATAGAAATATAACTGCAGTGACTGGCAATATCCATTTTACAAAAAAACGCACATTAAGCTACTTTCTTTGTGGCACTTCAGTATGACTAGTAATGAAATGGGGGATTTAATATCTTGATATGGATATTGGCTGTCACTGTATGATGTGTGGGTTATTCCATAAGAACCCTGAACCAAATACCTGTATATAAAAACCTAAATTAAAAGAAGACTGTAGCACTGCTAATCCAGTTTTACTAGTTTTGTATAATTTTTATAAGGGCTTTCAAGCTTTCCACTTATTTTCAGATCTTAGAACTTGAAACCTTAGAAATGAGAAGTCTAGTGTTATATATGTATGGATGGTTACTTCTCATTAGACATTATCTAGCATTCCATCTTCATAAACTGATTTATAATGCAAATTATATTTCATGCTTTATATATATTATACAATGATTAAAAAAAATTGCATTTATAGATGGTTCACTTGTTTAACAATATGCTGTGTGCATTCTGAATCTGCTACTGTACTGTCTTCTTCACATTATTTAGTATCAGTTTCAATGGTTACTGAAATAAAAAACTATTGTAGTACCTATAAATGTAACTTTTTAATCGTCTTGTATACGATTTTGTACATAGGAAGAAATATTCATAGGGAGTGTATATTATTATTACTATTATAAATGAAGAGAGAGAGAGAGAGAGAGAGAGAGCTGTGTGGGGTCATTTACTTGCAGAAAAGCACAAAGCAAAAACAAAACCTGTAATATTGATTTTTTTAAATACTTTTTATCAAAATATGGCATCAATTATAATTTGAAAATTCATGTCCATGAAAGATGGCCAGTAGATCTGATTCAAGAATTAAATTGCATCCTTAAAAAAAATCTTGTGTGCTTTATTATGAAATCTTGTGTTCATACTGCTGTTATAAGTAAAGGAAAAATCAGTATTTTGATAGTATATTTTTAAATGTAAAGGACTTTCATTCTAAGAAACAAGCATTTAAAGTTGACTTGTCAGCAATTTTGAAAGTCCATATACATTTCACTTGGTAAGTGCAGCTGAGGTTGAAAACACTTACCAAGTGCTTCACTTTGTTTCTTCAAAGTAATGAAAAATTGTTTGTTAGATCTGATGGCTATATTTGTAATATTATATTTATTCTAGTGTTCCATGATGCAGTAGTCTGATTTTTATATGAATGAGTGCATAGGCTATGGAGGATATACTAGGCACTTGTAAGAGAATTGTATGTACCGTAATAACCAAATATAGTATATGGCCTTGACACACATCATTCAGCTAATTTGTTAAAGTGCTAAAATATAAGATGTTTGCAATAAAATATATCTATTAAGTACCACCTTAAATAATTTTTTTATTAGGATATAATTTCAAGAATTTTTTACAGTTCATGAATATCATCAGTCTACCAAAAGCTGCAAAATTATACATTTTTCTTCTTCCAGTGATGCTTATAAATTTTTATTTTTATTTAAAAATTTAAATAAAGCTCTTCACTATTGGTTTTTGGCTTGTGTATTTTGCTATAAAACTTATATTTGTAGAATACAGGAGGGCCCCGTTTGTACAACTCTTGGCTTCCCAACCCAGTGTGGTAAGTGAAACTTGCCAGCAGGTGGAAAAGAGCAGTTTTTGCATTATCAAATGCATCTAAAATGCAACGTGTTTACGCCATCATTAATTAAATTCTCAGTACAGCTATGCATAACAAAATATAAAAAAAAGTAAAATAAATACACAGTACATACAAAACTTACCTTAAAATATGGTGCCAGTCGCCCTTCCCTTACACAACTGTTATGTGAAAAATGGTAAAAGCACCGAACACAATGAAGAATGACTCAGTTGAAAGCTAACAAAAAAGAGGGTGTCAAATACATGGGACCCTCCTGTACCTTAATATGAAGGTCTGTCTTACAAGGTAATTTTACTAACCGAGATTCATTTGAATAACAAATTACAAGAAAATGTAATTTTTATGCAGATTTGTAATGGTAATTACTTATTTGAGTTTGTTATGGGAGAGGTAAGCTCTAGCACTTGCACTCCCCTCTTTTGTGACTGGCATGATTGAGAGCCCTATTATATCTCTATCTGAACTCCTGTGCTACCTCTGTCTCCTACTTTGTTCTTTCATGCTGTGCATATGTAAGTGGATGAAATAAAATGTATGTCACCATGGAATGTGTTAATTGGTAAATTTTGTCATAAATTCCTGTTTAGGATTCTTACTGAACTGTTAATTTTTTTGTCTATTTATGTATGGAATGAATTATAAACTTGACTCAGTGTGATAAATACATTGGTGATGTTTTGGTAAAGGTGTGTCTGTATTTTTATACTAATTTTTGTTCATTGATTTTCCATATTGCTGGGCATTACTGTTACAGTGCGTAGGCCTAATGATATGCTTACTTAAAAAATAACAGTAGTTAACAATATTTTGAATCACCTACTCTGCTAACTATCTGAAACAAGTTTGCACAATACCTGAGAGCAGGAAATATATATATAGATTTTCCAAATATCCTATAGCTTTACATGATATAAATTTACTTTTATCTGTCCAGTCACTTTGCTTTTTGATATTTGCCCATTGCATTAGATTCATAATATAATAACTGAAAGTGTCTGTGTGAAAATGTACACAATTAGTGAAAAGGAAATGTATAATTACAAATGTTGCTCTGTATAATCAGTTATACAAAATAGGTAATGATTCAGTTTCTTACTTTATGCTAAAGTGGATTTTGCAGTTCATCTTCTAAATGTGATGTATGTGGCAATCACTTTTGTTATGGTCTAGTCTGGATTGTAAAAATATTTTAATTCGTATATTCAGTCAGGTGTTGTAGATGATTCCTAAGCTTCCTAATAAGGCCTTATATTTTAAGAAAGTGTAAATAATTGTACATATATTTGTAAATGAGGAGTCCAAGAGATTCTTAGAAATACTCTGTAAATATTTTTCATAAACTTTGCAAACTTTATAGTGTTTTATACATTTTGAAAAATTTATATTATGATAGGACAGTACTGCATACTATGATAATTTTCTATCTGATAATAAATGTAGTGTATGACATGCAGTACAGTGACTTTATATATGAGAATGTAGTGTATGGCATATAGTACAGTGAATGTTCTCTTTCACAAGACTAATAGTTCTGACCACTCAAGTTGGATGCTTGTGAAAGATACACACAAAATTTAAAGAATTAGAGCAGTGACTGGCACACATTTTATGGATTTATTTCCTGTTAAATACATCAATAAATGGAAGATGTATAAGTGTTGTTATTACACCTATGTTTATTATTGGCATACCTCTTCTATCACTGTAAAACATTTATCATTTTTGAGTTCCTTTCTGTGGCTGGGGATATGGTATTCAGTAATGCCTGAGGTCACACTGGTGAGGACTTGTGAAGGCTTAGCTAAATGCTGTCCCGTGCATATAGTATGAAGACTTCTGTGGTTCTCATTCACCTAACCTTTTGTTAGGTGAATAAAGGCAAAATTGGAGGGTCATTGTTTGCCCCCTCTGAATCAAGGTAGTTTGATTGCAGGGTTATGTGACAGTTTACTTATGTATTCAGTGTCTAAACTTGCAGTTTGTAGGTTTTAGTCTGCAGATTGGTGATGTTGGTCTTTCCTTACCTTTACCCTTACATTTCCTTTCTACTGCAACACCCCCTACCACTATACCCCCCCCCCACTTAATATTCTCCTTTTTTTTCTCTCTCTCCCTCTCCTCCTGTCTCTCACCCCACTATCTCCTCTCTCACTTCTCTCTCCTATCCTCTCTTGCTTCTCTCTCTTTTCTCATTCTCTTTCCTCTCACTTCTCTTTCTCCTCCTCCCTTTCTTCTCCTCTCTTTCTCTTCCTCCTCCTCCTTCCTTCCTCTCTCTCTCTCTCTCTCTTTCTCTTTTTTTAACATAGGGTTTGAAAAAGATAGGTTAAGGATCCCTAGCTTTATTGACAAGCTATTTACAGGTTAAGGATTCCTAACTTTATTGACAAGCTAAGAGCTGTTACCTACATCAGTTCATTTGAAAGCATTTTTATTATTATGAAACATACAAGTGGGAAACAGGATGAAGTTGGAGCCATCTGTGGGCCAGCATTTTCATTTGATCAACTGACTTTATCTCGTTGACATCATAATGCTGTATGAATGTGTTCCATACTCGAGTCATCCTGGGGACAAATGATCTCAGATGAAGTGATGTTCTGGAGTAGGGTACAGCCAGAGTGAAGCTGCTGCTTTCTGCCCGTCTTGTGGTATAGAAGCTTAATTTACGCTGTCCTCGAAGTGGAACCAAGTGTGGTACTTTGACATTATTGGCCTTGTACATAACAGTAAGGCCACCCACATTCCTCCTGTGTTGAAGGCTCTGCTGAAATGACAGATCTATCCAGGATGGGTCCAGGCGAGAGATGAGACTTCTAGCTCTGTTCTCTGTCAAGCAGTCGCAAAGGGGGAGCAGGCAAACCAAGAAAGTGGAGCATACTCAAGGTGTGAGTGTACTTGTGCCTCATATAGAATCTTGCAACCCCTACTGTCAAGCAGATGTGAGATACAGCAAAGTGTTGCCTTGTTCGCAAGATTTACAGTGTGGTTCCCCTCAAGGAAGGTTCCTTGATGTTGGTGAGGGGCTCTTGATTTAGGGAATTGGATCTGTGCTCCAGTTCCCCGAATTAAGCCTGAATGCCTTCCACATCCCCCCCCCCCCCAGGCGCTGTATAATCCTCCGGGTTTAGCGCTTCCCCCTTGATTATAATAATAGTAATAATTACAGTGTGGTTCTTCATGGTCAGCTTGGACTCAAATTTCACCTCAAGGATATCAACTTCTTCCCCAGGTACCAACAACATCTCATTCATCCTTACTACTGCACTGGCATTACCATCATGGTGCCTAGAGACCATTATCATTTGCATTTTCTCAGGTGCAAATGTTACTTGAGATCTATTTCCCCAAGCTGATATAGCTCTTAACTAGTGATTGATGTAGCTTAGAGTAGCTGGCATTTCTTCTCTTGGATAAGTGAATGTCAGTGTACAGTCATCTGCATATGCATGGGATTCTGGGACAAGATGAAGGAGGTCATTGAAGTAGACATTCCATAACAGTGGTCTCAGCACACTTCCTTGTGGAACACTTGCCCCAATAGGATGTCTTTTTGATTCTGTTCCATTGAGAACTACCCTTAGAGATCTACCATGAAGATAATCACTGAGGAGATGTAGCATAGAGCCTGCAATTCCCAGTGCTTGCAGTTTTGCCAAGAGGCCCTGGTGCCACACTCAGTCAAAAGCACCAGCAATGTGCAATGCTACCACAACAGCTGACTTTGGATTCATCCAGTGACTGGTGCTATTTAGTGGAGAGGTTTAACAACAGATCAGCAACAGAGTAACTTTTCCTGAAGCCATATTGACTGTCACAAAGTAGTGAGTGGTAGTCAAAAAGCTCTCTCATTTGTCTTGAGATTATTGTCTCAAGGATCTTGCTAGTGATTGACAGGAGTGACACTGGTCTGTAGTTGCTGATTTCTGCTCTGCTCTTCTTTTTGTGAACAGGCACTGTATAGCCCTTGTGGTTTAGCACTTCTTTTTTATTATAATAATTGTGAACAGGGACTACATTTGCCTCTTTCCACAGAGAGGGCCATTTACCCTGTACTAGGCAGTGCTGAAAGATGTGAGTTAGAGGTGCTGCTAGCTGGTCTGCACATCATCTCAGCAATCTTGGGCTCAACTTGTCTGGGCCCACAGACTTCTTGATCAAGTGATTTAAGAAGGAAATGCACCTCCTGCCTTATTGTCACCACTGACAGTTTTGACACAGTTCTTGCAGCTAGCCAAGGAGGGTCCCTTGCTGGATCAGGAACTTGGATTTTGGTAGCAAAGTGTTCAGCAAAGAGGTTTGCTTTCTCTTGACTACTGGGAGAGGTGGTCCCATCCTGTTGATTTAAAAGTGGAATGAGTTCATCAGGCAGATAACCTTGTCTGTCCTTGATCAGGGACCACCAGATTTTGGAGCCTACTCTACCTGATGCTAGCTTTCTTTTGTGTCCACCTCCCATTTAGTGATGACTCACTTTTGAACTTAACCCATATGCCTACAGGTTTGCCTGTGCAAGTTCCTGTTATAGGTGGTAGGGTGTCTGTTATACCTTCGCCATGCTTTGTACTTAGCAGTAGCAGCCTCTTTACATCGAAAGCCAAGCCAAGGCTGATATGTAGGCTTCATCACATACTGCCAGTGAGGGAGGTGTTCTTGTTGTAGATTAAGGATGTGTCCAGTGAAGGCTTTCACTTGGTCATCAACATCCCCTTGGAGAAGAGCATTCAAATCGGTGGTGGTGAGCTCAGAGCAAAGGGATGGCCAATTAACTCACACCCATAGTCAGGTTGTGCATGTGGACTCCTCACCTTGTTCTGTTGGGATCTTAAATGTCATAAAAACAGCCTTGTGGTCAGACGATCCAACATAGTCAGGGGGTTGACAAGTGACTATTCCTTCTGCCAGATCACTCACTACTGGGTCATTGGAGGAGCCAGAGATGTGAGTAGGGAAATCCACAAAGTTTCTCATGTCAAACACTACAAGAAGGTCATCAAAGTTACTCTGTATAAGATGTTGGTTGAGGTCACTAACAATTGTGATATGTTGACAGTTGTGTTGGAGCAGAAGGGAGTCCACATTTTCCATTAGGAAGTTGATGGGGTCTGCATATTGCCACTGAGGTCTGTATATTGCATATACTGGTACAGAAGTACTAGTGTTTATGCAAAACTTGAAGAACATCATTTCAAGATGAGTAGGGATGACAACATCAATGTGCTGGGCATGAACACTTTTAGAGAAGCACAAAGTAACACCATCTCCTTGTCCTTGCCTATCTCTTTTCATCTCATGAGGTGTAGCCAGCAATTCTTGCAAAATTTTCTGGAGTCCTGTCATCCAAAAATGTTTCAACAACAGCTATCAGGTTGGGACGTCGAGTGTTCACAAAACTGTGTGTGAGCTCACCAACATTAGTAATTAAATCTCTAATGTTGGCCAACAGGATGCTGATAGACTGTCTACTCATGATGTGTTCAGCTTGAGGTGGTGGGTGTGTAAGGTGCATGCCTTTGAGAGAGGTAGGGCACCAAGGCAGCTGCTGGGATGTAGGTCTCTCTCTCTCTCTCTCTCTTACTTCTCTCTCTCTTACTTCTCTCTCTCTTACTTCTCTCTCTCTTGCTTCTCTCTCTCTTGCTTCTCTCTCTCTTACTTCTCTCTCTCTTGCTTCTCTCTCTCTTTCTCTTGCTTCTCTCTCTCCTAGAAAAACAGAAATTGAGTAAATCATGGTGAATGTGTTTTCTTATTTTGGTATACATTGCATTTGTGTGTGTGTGTCTGTCTATCTGTGTCTCTCTGATGCTTACAGTCTGTCTTCAGTATTTTAACCCTTTCAGGGTCGGCAGGCCCTCTCTTAAACTTGTTCTCAGGGTCGGAATTTTTTTGAAAAAAAAAAAAAAAAATCTTATGAAATGATAGAGAATCTTTTCCCGATCATAATGACACCAAAAGTAAGAAATTTGATGGTAAACTTACAGAGTTATGCTCTCGCAAAGTTAGCGGTCTCAACTATGTTTACGCATCGGTGATTTCGCCTACTTTGAGCCCTATTTTCGGCCAATTCCAATGTACCAATCGGCAAAAATCATGACCATTTCGCTAGAACTCTATTTTTTTCTATCGAATGAGTACAAGAAACCACTCATTTACCGATTTCAATTATCCAACAAAGTGATCAGAAAATGGCAATTTTGCTAATTTCACACAAATTTCAAAAGATGCTAATTTCCAAATAGGGTCCAGAATAAACAAGACAGACATTCCTGGCACTAAAATAACATTTCCTTTGTTCATTAATCATGTCCCCAGGCCTCTGTTACATTTCTTTTGCTTTCCACTTTGAATTTTTATTCTCACAAAAAATAGAAGATTTACTGTTATGCAGTCTACTGCATTAGTGTAGAAATTGTATAAATAATATCAGCGCACTCGTAAAAGAATATTAGACTCATCAGTTGATGTGTATTGGGCACATGGCATAATTTATTTACTTCTGAGCTTTGGCAAAAATTGAACATTTCTGCTACTTTGAGCTCAATTTCAAGGTCTTTTTTTTGGGGGGGAAACCAATCAAAATCATCTCAATTTCTGTAATATGTCTTCCATTCTATAAAATGAGACCAGGAAAACTAGAATACAACCATAAATAGCATATGAA